CTGAACACAATTCTGTCCTCCTCTTATATAGCGCATCCGTATCCAAGGAAACGGGCTGATTTCCAAGAATCTGTCTCCATGAGAACTTGTTTATCACTCAGCGACGTGTTGGTTTCCAAGAATCTATATCCATGGAAACATGTTTATCACCCGTATCCTAGCAATGGATCTACGTGCCACAATATTTTTGTTTGTTCAACTGGATGCTGCATTTCTCTTAGTAACTGCGAACTACACGTCGATATCATAGTACTGTGCTAGTCACAGAAATAAATTTCGGCGACACGACTGAGTCCATGTTTATTTAAAGTTACTTATGATGACTATCGCTCGCCCTAGGCGAAATTTCATGTCGCCGGGTGCTACTTACTTTGCACAGACCTGACCTAGAGCATCACGACGATATAAATATACCTTCGCGCCTAACCGCCACGTCATGAAGATCCATAAAGACGCATAGCTAAAATTTTTTTAATTCGTGCATTCCCAGACAATCGGTCATGCTTTATTGTAATCTGCAGTACAGCATGGGCATTGACTCGAGGTACACGACGCTAACACAGCAGCCAGCTATATTAAAGTGCTAATTTAATGCACGCCTCCACACTGTTAAAAGTACTTCTATGTTGAAAAGTATTAATTTATGCAGAGAGCCATAATGCTTAATTTATACGAGGCTTGTCTTTACTCACAATTAATCGGACAAAGTTTGCCACCTGCTTTGACATACTAGAAGTCTGCATTCTGCCCACAGAGTGTAATTGTGTGTTTCTTATGGTTTGCCAATAAACCGAGATATTTCCCTAAGCAGCATTAACTGATCGATCTTTGTAGCGGAGACGTGATGTTTTTCCTGTGAGGTACGAACCGCATTTTGATATGTTATTGGAAGAAACTTCCAACTGTCCAATATTTGTACTCATCCTATCACTGATGCTATATGGTCCCATATTGACAGCGTCACTAAATAACCAACCATCTTCAGTCTTAAAGGGTGAATTCACATTTGGACAAATGGTAAACTGCGTTCAGAATTATTCTTGGAGGGTAAAGTTTGAAGTGTGCAGTACCAAGAAATAACGGGATTGAGGTGGTACCTTGGCACGAAATGAATTTTAACACAAATGCCTGCTTACTGTTTGTCTGTCGCAGTGTTTGCAGGATATGCAAGAGTGTTAAACTCTGCCACTGCAAATAGTATGTTAATTTACATAAGTGGCATACAAAACCCGGCGTCTGTGTCTAACCATTTCCATAATTACTCGGTACCTAACTGACCTAATTTTCTTCCAGAAGGTACCCGACGAATTATACTATTTCCGGATGTTCTGACTGAGTCCCCTTATAGTTAACCCGTGTCTCTTATTGCGAACGGATAGTTGGGGTCTCAGACTTTATCACTTTCAGATGCCAGATTATTCAACATTACCGTAAAACGGATGTTATGATCATACGTGCTGTGATTCTTCACAACTTACATATGCCCTTTCATACAAACGCAACACCGTCATCCTCCAGACAATTCCTGTGAAAGTATTTCAATTTAATCCCAAACTACTTCTTTCAAAATCCTTACCAATTTATATATTATCATCCAAGAAATCGAGGGTATATAGTATAGCTGCTGACAGCATCGTAAAAAACATAAATATCTTCGCATTTATCACTTCTGAATGCCAAATATTTATTGATAATTAGCATAATATTGTGGCATTTAGACCCGTTGCTAGGCAAGACCGCAAAATAAGCAGTTGTACAACAGCCGTTGCTAGGTAGTGGCCGCAAAGACGCACTCAACAATGAAAGAACTGCTGGAAGTGGTGTTTTCTGTGTGATCCGTGCCGAGGCTATATAAAGACGAGCGTCTGCGATTACGAGAGAACTCCGTGTGGAGGCGGGTTCGAATAGCTCAGTCGATATAACTACTTTTTCTCTTCTCCATAAAGTCCAGACCGGTTCTGGGGCCCACTCGATGTTCTATATAGTGGGTAGTGGGGGTAAATCGGCAGGGTCGTGAAGCTGACCACTCACATCCATCTATTGCCGAGCATAAGAATGGTGGGATTATTCCTCTGCTCCCCCATACGTCTTCATGGCGTAGTGCTTAATTAGTTACGGATGGATAATACTCGTATATGTTAACTAATGTTCCTAACATTTCTTGAAAATCCTCGGAGCTGAGACCTGGGTCAAGCTGAGATCGGAACAGACTGGATTTTTAATGGAACGAATGCTATTAGGACGAGTTTTCCTCTGAATACTTCAGTTTTTCTCTTTCTACAGACATTTCACTGTTTTCTGTCGTCTCTGAGACATGCGACAGACATGTCCACCAGCACGATATCATATCCTGTCCTTAGTTGGGGGCTTTACGTCAGATACAACACTTTGTTGGCCTTTGACAACATTATTGCCGGCATTCATTAAAAGTATATTGATACTTAGTGATCAAATATTACAGGAGAATTATTTTGTGCTGTCTGCTGAACCTGCGTGACGACAGGCGAAGCAAGTGGCCATTTGGAGTAGCATATGTTACAATATCCCTCTTTTCGGATTTTTGTTAAATGAATGTCATTTCTGTTGTTCTTCCTCTTATATCGTGACCATTAAATTGCAGTACCTAAACAGGTTATGCAACAGTACTGTCGCGTGTTGACTGTGTAGCGGGACAAATAGCTTCACGCCGGTCTTGGATTTAGCGAATATGTTTATTGCACACTCGCTCGCAATTATTGTCACTTATAACTTCTTCACGTTCATAATTCTTCTGTATTTCAACGCTGCTTTCAACTCTGTATGAACACTATCCTGTGTTTCAGCTATTCTCGACGACTGCTAGAATTCAACTCACTTCGGCGGCTGCTATATGTCAACTGTCACTGTCTCGGCGAATGCATTCAACTCTTTATACAGGCGGGTTTCGGACTCAATAGAGAACACCGTTCTCAACAGTTTGGTTTCATCCGCTGTTGCGCAATGAACCCTCTGTTGTCTTTCATCTCCGCGGAAACGCGTTTGTTGTTTGCACTGTTGCTACGCAACGGCCCACTGTTATTGTGTTGTTACACAACGAACACTCGTTACGGATATTCCTACGCACCCGTCTGTTGGTATTCGATTTGTCGCTGTGGGAACTCAACAATTTCAATTGTTTTCTTCGCTCAGCGATATAACACGTTACAAAATAAACAATCCCCCTTTAAGAGTTGCAGCCCAGTTAGTTTCATCACAGGTCAAGGAATTTCATATTAATAATTGCGACGAATTTTCGAGAAAGTTAGTACATTTTTAACTGAGGCAGGTAGTGGCATGTGTGCTTGCGCTTCGACCTTGGCTATATCTATCCATGAAACGGTGTGCACTTTCCCATTGTACATCTATCTATCTGTGGCTCTACAGTCCTCTTTGTTGGAGCCTGGCCGCTTTTTCAGTTCCTTAATTCTATACAGAGTCAGTAGGACTCCTTGGACGGAGGATCTGCCCGTCGCAAGGTCGCTACCTACACACAGAAAAACATAAATACAGGGGATGGACAAAAATATGGAAACACCCAACAAAAAACACATTACCGTGACTAATATGGCGTAGGACAATCTCTGGCTTGCAGAACTGCTTGCAGTCTCCTTGGAGTGGATAAATAGAGGTCCTGTATGATTTGCAAGGGAATCTTGCACCATTCTTCCTGAAAAACATGGTAAGTTCTGTTATCGATGACGGAGGTGGATAGCGAGCATGCAGAATGCTCTCAAAAACAGACCACAAAGGCTTAATAATATTGATATCTGGTGATTGTGGGGGCCATGGCAGACGTGACACTTCATCTTCGTGCTCAGAAAACCAGTCCTGGACGATGTGAGCTGTGTGAACACGGGCATTGTCGTCTTGGTGAATGGCATCACCATTAGGGAACAAAGTTTGCACCATGGGATGGACCTGGTCACCCAAAATGGTCACATAGTCGTTGGCAGTGACGTGACCTTCCACGGTAATGAAGGGTCCGACAGAATACCACGATATGGCTGCCCATACCATGATCGAACCCCTGCCATGTTTCACTCTTGGAAGCAAACAATTTGGATCGTAAGCTTGGGATGGCGTTCTCCAGATGTAAACTCGGCCAGAAGTCGGAAACAGTGTGAAGGTGGACTCATCCGACCAAATGACCGTCTTCCATTGCTCCATAGGCCAGGTTTTATGACTTCGGAACCACACTCTCCTCTTAGTGGCAATTTGATGTCTGATGAGTGGCTTTGGAATTGCAGCTCGTCCAGAAATACCCTCCTTGTGGAGTTCCCTTCATATTGTTTTGGTGCTGACAAGGTTTAGGAGCGCGACATTCAGTTCAGCAATCACTTCTGAAGCTGCAGTCTTCTTAATTTTCGTCACAATCCTACACAATGTTATCCTGTCTCAATCACTCAACATACATTTCCGTCCACGCTGGTGTTTATCGGATGCAGTTTTTCCAGTCCTCCTATATGCGGTCATAATCTTGGATACTGTGCTTCGCGAAACACCAAAAACCTCGGCTACCTTGATTACGGAAGCACCCACCATATGGGCCCCAACAATTTGCCCGCGTTCGAATTCTGTTAGCTCTGACGTGATGCACTAAAAATTGCACAGAACACTGTCTCGACAACAAATGAAGCTTGCAACGTATTGCGGAGGTTGTGCAGGTAGTGGTATTGGGCAGATATGGCAGCGTCACCTACAAACGTCGCTAAAATAAACACTTCAATTCAGGCATGCATTTCACGAGGTGTTTCCATATTTTTGTCCATCCCCTGTACATAATAAACACAAACATCCATTCCTCGAGTGGGATTCGACCCCACGATCCCAGTGTCCGAGCGAGCAAAGAGGGTTCATGCCTTAGACCGCGCGGCCACTGTGACCGGCTCACATTGTACGTACATAAGCAGTTAAACAATATTCTGTACGATTTGTCAGTTACGTACCATGATTGGTTTAACGGTGTGTTTGTTTTGGTGCAGAGTCCGGGGGCGCTGCACCACAAGGACGTGCTTGCCAAATACAACGGCAGCGGCAGTACCAGCAGCAGCAGTGGAAGTAGTACGGCCGCCAAGACGTCCCAAGCCAAGACGCAGCTGACGTCACGAAATGGGCTACCAGGCAAGAACAATAGCAGCCTTCTATCAGAGGTCAGTAACAGTAACAATCCTATACCGAGACTGTTCACATTCTATCTCGGCGTCTAAATACAGTTGACTCCTTATACACTGGGGGTGTGTTCCTGAAAATCGCCGCGTGAAACGTAAAATGCAGCGAATGAACACTGACAACGTTGGAGAAGGAGCAGAAAACAACATGACACTTATAGTCCACCCTCTCTACGGTACACCATTTCTCTTTATCGGCAATCATAAAGGAAAAAAGATTTCTGTGCAAATATGTTTGAATTTTCCAATGGCTTTTGAATGACCGAAGTATGTTGAAAACAGAATCTATTAAATCCTAATGATGACGCAATTATCTGCTTCCCCAACTGCTTGTGACGCATCCTCGTTTTCGTAGTAGTTATAGTGTAAGGGCGAGGGCATGCCAAGGAAACTGGCAACCGCAACGCAGCCGCAATTTCCAAAAAAATATCGCCGATTTCAAGCAGGCAACTTGTTTCCAGATTAGCAGGCGCACACTGAGGAAACTTGTGTTTGATTAGTTGCTTACATCATCTTAAGTTGCTATGTTCGTCCGACGTAATGCATGATTGCATTTTTTAACTTCGCGCACTTGTCTTCTGCAATGGAACATAATATTGATCCTGTCATAATTTGGTGGTAGTTGAGATAGGTCGACATGCCGTGAAAAGAGAAGGCGACGACCATAGGGAAAATATGCGTATTAGGATGCTAATTATTTGTTTTAATTAAGGTCAATTTATTTAATCAGAAAATACCGCGTTCACACGCGATAAGAAATTTTGACATACAGTGCAACAATTTTAGCAAGATAGAAGACACCTGATGATGGCAGTATACTATACCCGAACCATGCAATGTGGAAGAAGGGTGATTATATAAGTTGTATTTAAGACTGAAATGAAATAAATGATATATTAATGCAGCAGGATGCTCAAACACAATATTAGGAAAAGAAAACATTGAGTGTATCCATTCTTGTGTGTCAATTTAAACTGAGGCGCTTATATTGTTTCGAAAGAACTTAAGCAGGATCCAGACTCCTTCATCTCACGTGAAATTCTTTCCCAAACAAATTTATTTTGTTCCGCCTAGCATAGACTGGGTGGCGTTTGTCGTGTATAACCAGGCTCTTGCTCGGTTAACCGCACAAAATCAAAATTAGCAGCTTCGTCAACCTTTCGTGCCATCTTAAGAAACAAATGAACAACTGACGCGAGTTATAGAACAGCTGACACTAGGAAACCAAGTGGCAACAAAATTGTGAGAAGACTGGCATGTTCCGTTGCCTAGAAGTTGAGTTCCTCAGTCTTTCCGCGAGTTGCGTTGCAGTTTTCTCAATTTGCGCTGCTCCATTCAGTAACATGTGTTCAACTCAGGCTGATAACGATTCTCGGAAAATGCGGTTGCATTGCGGTTGCCAGTTTCTTTGGTGTGCTCTCGCCCTAAAATGGTGAAGCCAGTCAGGGAAACTGCTCGTGAAACCCACTGAGCATGCGCGGCATATTCTACCGTGGCCGCAGATGTGGCGCTGATGCTTCTCATGACGTTCATGACATTGACATAAAAGAGCGGATAACGAAAGCGCGTGTAACGAGAGTAACCTGCATTCACAAAATCTGATATGGCGTATACTCCAGGACGTTTTGTAGCTGCTGGCCTATGAAAGAGTGAAAATATTATCGGTCTGGCGTTGTACACCCTTCACACCTCCCGCAGGCAAGCTGGTACTGATATATGAAATGTGGATCTAGGGTACCACTGTCCAGCCATTTTAACTGCCGTAATAGGCGTATGCTTTCACAGCAAGCATAACATAAATACATATCATAAAAACATAACATCTGCGAAGAAACTGATCAAGAAAAGAGTAAAAATTAGGCTATAGATGTATTTACATAATTATTATTCACCGCAAGAGACCAGCATAGGCTTATGTTTAATTAAGATTTTAATTTTAATGGTTCATTGTTAAGAAGGATATAATGGATCATGTGAGAGGGTGGGCCGCGTGTATGGCAGGTCCGTTCCTGAGCCATAACAATTTATTGATATATTGGGTTTTTGGACTTTATCCATCGTCCTCGTTTTTAAGATAAATAAAAACACGACATTTCGGAAACTGGATCTGTTTCCGTCCTCAGGTGAAGGAAAACAACTATTCAGTTGGGTCCGTTAGAAAGAGATAGCCTCAATCACTGGACGATGGATAAAGTCCAAAAACCCAATATATCAATGTGTTATACACCATCGTCAGAATCCTATAGTAACTAATAACAATTTATGTTTATAATTTTATGGATTTGTTTTAAACTGAAATTCGAAGATCATCAGAGTTGCCACTTTAATTATAATCTAGGGCATGCCTATCATTAAACATAGGAAAAATTGATGTACATAAATGCTACCAATGATCCTCTTAAAAAAAACATTTGTCTGAAAATTACAATACGAGTATATTAACATTTTCACGTACTACGGACTCAAATGTGAATTAAGGTCGACAGGCAAGACCGCAATGGCTTTCACGCGCACTAACAGTAACTAGAAAAGCAACCACAAACTTTTATATGTCGCTATCCAATTCTGTACATTGTCCCTTCTTCCCCAAAGCTATAGCAATTTAGCCGGCAGCAGTCCAACAGAATGAAAATGACATTTGTTCAAGTAAGATACTTGTTTGACCACCTCTGTTGTCTAGTGGTCAGAATTTCTGCCTACAGATCCAAAGATCCGGGTTCGATTCCCAGCGCTACCAGATTTTCTTAGAAGTAGTGGGTCTGGAACAGGGTCCATTCGGCCTCATGAGTATAACTGAGGAGCTATTTCAAGAAAATAGAGGCTCCGGTCTAGAAAACCGAAATTAACGGCCGTGGCGATTCGTTGCGCTGACCACGTGACACCCTCTATCCGCTAAAGTTGGCACTAACTTCGCCGACAAGCGGAGTCGCTCGGTCGGTATAGTTCGCTTGCGGACTCAAGCCACGGAGTTCGTAAGTTCAAGATACTTATTTAAAAAGCAACCCATTCAGTTTATCGTAATTATTGTTGTTCATGTCATCCCGTGTTTTCTCATAAAGTATACGGCTGGAGTTTCACAACCCGTGAGGCTCGACATGCCTGCTATTTCGTATTTCGGTGAGATTGAGCCATGCAGATCGAAGCTTTCGCGAGTTTCACCACTCAGTAAGGAACAGTAGGACTGCGTCAAGCAGACCACAACAGCTTCATCTCCAAGTTTTAGCATATTTGCCAGTTAACGCACCCAACTGGTCTAGGTTAGCAGCAAGGCATTTCAATTGTATTGTGGAGACACCTCTTTCTCGAACAAGGGAATGTTGCTATTGCTATCGAGTTATTTATGACTTTGCTTTTCAAGCAGGTGTGTGGATAGCACTTTCTCACCTGTCTTGATTAATCCAAAATTATAACAATCATGGGGAGCCGGAATACCTCAGACAGCATAGCGATGGGCTAAACGGTAGGTGTTCGATTCCCGACAGGGTCAAAATACTTTTCTTTACTCCAAAGCATCCAGACCGACTCTGGGGTCGGTGGTAAAGCGGTCGAGACGTGAAGTTAACCGTTCACTTCCAATTAGTGCTGAGGCCAAGAATGGTGGAAATATACCTCCACTCCTCCATAGGTTTTCCTGGCGTGGTGCTTCTTTAATTAAGCACAAGGACAAGTTTACCTTTTTTAGCCTACTTCCTTTATTTTGAAAAAAATAGATGTAGGCTTATGCGATATCCATCCTCTCTGTGTGTCTGTGTATCTCCTCCAATCAGCTTTCGAATGCCTCAGCCAATCTTTATGAAACTTGGAATGTATATAATAGCAACTGATCCCAGCTCAACAGCGTGCTTCATAAATCCCTCACATCAGTCTGTGCGTTCGTATGCGTATCCTCCCTATCGTTGCTAGGCAACGGCTCGGTAAACACGTTCCCGTGGCAACAAGTAATTGTTAGAGGCGTCGTTTTCCATGTGGTCCATTTCGTAACAAAGGAAACCAGGCAATTATTTCTTCTCACAAGTTCCTGATGCAACAGTCTCTGACTATTTCATGATGTTATAGGAACGCGTGGATTGAAGAAAAATTCCTCCTTAATCAAAATATATGCAAGAAGATGTAAATAAGTTGGAAATGTGTGATGTGGTAATTCACTGTTTTCTTAGAAGTAATGATGAAAACACAGAAATATCCAGTCAAGATTCGATCTTTGAACTTACCTGTGAAGTGCTGGCTACCAAATGTTCTCAAGAACGTAACATCTGGCATTCTGAGGTATTGTGCTTGAATAATGAACATATGGACGTCTCGGTGGTATTCCTAATTGTAACGAATGAAAGATCGCTTACACGGAAAGGGAGTGACTCCGACGCTGGCCAAACAGCCTCCGGGTGTACATTTCAAGGACATCAGTTCAAGGTTTACAAGAGTCATCTGAGAGAGAAGACAAGCCACATGGCGTGTTGTAGATTGAATCAATAAATGGCAACGTACGAATGTATGCTGGTTCTAGAATTCACATGAAGAATGAAACAGAAATGTCATCATTATTATTATTATTATTATTATTATTATTATTATTATTATTATTATTATTATTATTATTATTATTATAGGAACTTCTGGTTTCTTTGAATTCTTTCTTGTCTCTAGTCTTCCCTGCTGTCTGTCTACATTTTTCTTTTCATTATTTCTCTCTCTCTCTATCTGCCTTTATCTCTGCTTTTCCTTTTCCTCACTGTCTCCACTTCTTTCTTTCCGTGATATTTCCGTGGCACTGGAAGGAATATTTTTGTGAAATATTTCAGACCTTTGTCCCCACAACGAACGCAATGTAAAAGTATGAACCGAATGTTACGGTTCAATGGCTGTCATTCCTGCATAGCATTCAGAAGGTTCGCTGTCTGAATGTGTGCATTAAGACTAAAAAGCCTGGCTGAGATCCTGTCTTGTTAAGTTTATCCTAATAAATGCTGGCTACATCATAAAAT